TTTAAACAATGTCACATTTTTTGAAACATTTTTCAAGGGCTTATAGATGTAATTAGTTACCTGTAATGACATCAAAGAAAATTTCTCATGAGAGCCTGAGAAAATAAATGTCAAATTTCACAAAATGACATCTTACACATAAAATTTGCAGAATTTTACCTGTGTTTTCACAATATTATTCTTGTGATATTTGAAATTTATTTTCTCAGGCTCCTATGAGAATTATAACATACACAACCAATGTAGCTAGAAAATTCCCCTAATCAAATTCAATAGTGTGAGCGTGCTTCATATTCCTATTGAGGACCCCGATGACATCAATAAATTATTCATAATTCCTCAAGTTGTTGTGAGCTTGGCAATCCTGAGTCTCCTGAGTGCATCCATAACTCAGCAGTACACGATAAAGCATTTACCATGTGTTTTATAGGGATTTAAGAGGAAACGTTTGAATTTGTTAACTGATAGTAAGGAAAAGCGGTGAGTGTTGATGTTGTTGTTGTTGTCATCTCTGCGAGCTGTGCAGGCTATGGCGTGAGATTATTCTTTGCAAAGTTGTTTTCTCTCAATTACAATTTTTTGGTGAATTAATAGTTTTCCGGCACCTAAATATGGATTTTACAACCATTTTAGAGAACACTTTCTCTCAGTTTCAGGATAAAAACATAAACTTAACTGTGAGGAAAAGAAATATAATCACGTAAACATTGATGCGTACTCCTTTGAGCATGCCCTACAATGATAAAATTTTAAGCTAACTGATGCATTGATCGCTTTGATAATGTTACAAAACAATTAGTTCATGCTGCAGCTGTGCGTATGTCGAGATATTGAGCACTTGGGAAGTTTGGAGAGCATTCAAGAGGCTAGAGTTGCACTCGGCTGTGCCTCGTGCAACTCTCACACCTCTTTCGTGCTCCCCAAACTTCCCGCATGCTCAATATCTCGACATAATTATGGATGCTCACACATGAACTAATTGTTAAATAGTCTTTGGGGTTATTACAGATAGCCAATTATATCTACACAACAGCAAAGAAAAGCCCAAAGATATCTGTGATAATAATAAAGACCTTATAGAATACCACAAAAATGATCTGGAAATGCAGGAACTGCCACATAAGAGAAACTAAATTTGCAAAATTTCATGGTTTCATGGGGTACCATACCCCCAGACCTCGCTAGAGGCTTGCACCTTAGGAACTTGTGTGAGTAGGTGCCTTTGGCGCTAAAAAATACTCCCTGTTTTCCTTCAAAAGGGGGCAAAAGGGGTTCCAATCTCTGTACATGTAATTGGGCACGTGACCTTAAAAAATTTAAATTATAACAAAAAACATTTTGTTTGTCCACCCCTCCCTGGCTGACCCCTCTTCATCCAAGCCATTCTGACAGTAGCCAAGTTAACATTCTTATCTAAGCTACTACTACGTAGTTTCCTTAGCTCTAAAATTGCACTTTATGCTTAAACCGTCATATCTTACCTGTACTTTGATCAAAACTCTCCATGAACGTGTGAAACATCAGTGCTTTGTCACTAAGGACTTAAGCCTTCTTGTTACAAATAAAGTACCTTCTTTTTATCACATTTAAATGATACAGAAAACAATCAGTCACTGAACTGAAAGACTAAGCTCCGTTCTGACAGAATCCGTGCTTTCATTTGAAGTTGGTTGGACAAGGGCGCCATTATCATAAGGCGCCATCTTGGTTTCCCCTTCTCCCCAAGCTCCACTCGGTAAAATTTGGGGAGGGGTGAGATGAGGCGGTGAGGAGTTGCCATTTAAGAAAAAAGCGAACAGTTTTACCAGGGGCGGATCTAGGGGGAGGGTGCAGGGGGTGCGCACCCCCCCCCCCTGAGATGACCTGCGGTTTTCTAATACAACTGGTATTCTGCAAAAAAAAAACTATGTGATTTATTGGTGTTGAAGTAGAGCAAGAGACGAGTGCACCCCCTCTTTACAGACATGTAAAAGCCTCCTCTTCTGTCGATTTACTGAATTTCAAGTTTCTACTTTTTTTTCTCATCCCATATATCGATGTTGCTAAATGTGCCGAACCTACTGGATAAGTTCGACTTTGGATCGACACTGGCGCAACATCTGATTAAGACCACGCACCGTGTGTCGTGCAACGTTAGACTCTTTCGAACTTGACGCAATTGCCGCACCAAACTAAAACTGCCGAACTAAATTGATTGAGACGCCGCTCTTTTACCGTACTCAATCCATCAGTTAGGTTTTGCACATGAGTGGAACGGCGTCTGAACCGGGCCTAAGGATTTTAGAAAAAACAAGGGTTTCGTTATAATATTCTTGATAATAATGAATATTATAATATATAGATTTATCCAGGGATAAAATCGAAGCTCTCGATAATATTTCAGTATAGTTTGCTAAACAAAATATATAATCGTGTAATGCTAAGCTGCGAAGGAAACGAGAACGGTGAAAAAACAACATTAGGTCTAATTAGCAAAAAAGGAACTTTGCACGTGCAGCACACTTTTTTGTACATTTGTTTGCCGTTGTTTTGCACGACTACAACGTGAAACTTGTATTTTATTTGTATTTGTATTTTATTATTACTCCATCCTATAGAAAAAACATTAGTTGTACAATATCAGTTAGTACAAGGTTGATTAAACTACGTGTACATAATAAAAAACAGAAAATTAGAATGGAGTAGGGCACAGTATAGAAAACTAATTGTGGCCCTTGAACAAGATTGCCTTTAATCTTATATAGCTTTCTTATTCATTAAAACACAAACACGCACGCACGCACACACACACGCACACAAGTCAATATTGAACAAGATAATATTTTTAAGTGCCTTTTTGAACAGGATTTTCGATGACTTATTGCGAATAGAAAGGGGGAGATCGTTCCAATAGTATTTTCCAATGACGGTAGGCCGGGGCAGTACTTTCGAATATTAATTCTTGAGTGGGGAATGTGTAAATTGCTGAGCAGATGCACTTCGTGTAAAATAATTGAAATAATTATGTTGCTCAGATACAAGAAATAATGGAAAATTACACGGCTTATTATCAGAGACATAATCATATAAAAACAAACAATTGTAAATTTTAACAATATCACGAAATTTTAATAAACCTAGATGAACATAATAAGGAGTGATATTATAAAAATAAAGAAATAAAGTAAATGAAAATGGGAACTGCGAACTAAAATATCTTCATCTACAGGGGCAATTACAGCAAGTTTTAACCGAGGAGGTGATTGCATACCATCGGTTCATAACGCCGCTAGGGTAAACGCTTCGAAACGTTGTTTATTATCGTGTTGAGAGATTTCTTTGTTTTGTTTTGTTTGCGCCAAATTATTTGTTTAGAGTAGTTCTTGTTAACATTGTTTTATTTCCATTGTTTTTTGACTTTATAAATATTTTTAGCACTTTTTTACATTTTTACATATTTTATCACATTTTAGCGTTCACCACATTTTTATCTATTATAACTTGTTTTTAACTTATTTATGCTAATTTAGAGAACTTTTATACACTTGAAAATGACCTCGGAGAGGTCGAAACGTCGTGATTTTTTATCGCTAATATTTATCTCAAAATCGATTTCTAAGAAACTACTTATTAAGATAAATATATATTTTTTTATTTTAACCTGATGTCGTAATCCAGTTACATTTACCATTGTTTACACGACACAGTGGTTGCCTAGCACGTGATGAGTTTACTGCACTAGCTGTATGAAATGGGCTATTTCCAGTCGTGAATTGAGCAGAATAAACTTCCGCATAACTTTCGAGAATCATCTCCGCTCGTAGAACAGTGTATGGCAGATAGCATCATCAGCAATGGGCCTAAAAACGAATAAGTGGCTGACTAATTCTCGTTTGAATTACAATTTTTTGGAAAAAAAAAAATCTATGGAGCGGTTTAAAAATTATTCACTTATCTGTTGAAAGTAGACTAAAAGGCTAACAAAACCGTTAACAAGAGTGCTTTGATACATACTAATTAAATCCTTCTTTCTAGCAATCGGCCGGTCCTATCTCCATGATCTTTCACACACGTTTTTAAAAAGATTGAAGCTACTAAGAGGTGAAATTGCATGTCAAAAGCGCTTCGTTTTCTACAGATAACTCCCAAACATCAAGGTTTTCCTTTTCTTTACCGTATTTTAACGATAAAAACTTCATCCCAAAATATCGAGAACGCTCTTACAGATTCCGTTTTAACTTCACGATCATCGAAGCGACTATTAGGGGAAAAAGCTCCCGTGAACGATTTTGTAAGAACAGTTCCCAGTGAGAAATGTTGCTGCAAGGAAAATAGGTAATGGCTTCATTTTGTTGCTATGACATCTCTGATGTCACTTCTACCCCGATCATGACAAATTTTCTTAATTTAATACAACTGTGGTGGCAATTTTTCCAAATGTTTGGGTTTATGGAGTCGTAGTTGGGAGGTATGACCCTGAAAAACTGTATCGAGCCACCTTCATATGCCAGTAGGGCCTATATTGTTGCATCGTATGGCCCTCGTTTCTTTTCGACTGTTTCGCAAAAATTTGGGCAAGTTGCAAGAATTTTTCGGGCAAATGGTTAACCCCCCCCCCGGCAAAAAATTGCCCGTACGCCTATGAGTCAATTTAGCGTTACTGAGCCTGCTGAACCCAACTGTTCTTCCGACTAACCTGCGGAACTGCAGAGGCCCGGAAATTCTTAGTTAATACCGTTAATCGGATGACGCTATTATTGAAAAATGTCAGTTTAGATTTCCGGGAGAAGATGTTACTAAGAGAAGGAACGGCAAAGGGGAATTAGGTGAAGAGGGAACGTGAAAAATTAATTCCGGCCGTGTCGCAGATCGTTCGTGTCCTCGATCTAAAGCTTCCTAATGGGGATTGTTGTTTTGATTTGCTTTGTCAGTCCCACGTGGGACACCCATATAAGAAAGGCTATAATTGGAGGAGTCACCATCGTACCGTGAACTTTGCGCACATCACGGAAGCAGACATCGGATTGGCTAAATATAAGGAAATGAATGTGGTTCGGTTCTCAGTCGCCGCTTGTGGCAAGGAGCATTGCGTGACGACACAAAAAACGTCTGTGTAGGAGACCAACGCAAAATGCCTCGTGGAGATTATTTGGTCCTATGGTATTGCTAGAGTTCTGCAGTGAAAGGAATTGTTACAATTTGCGTATTTGTTGTAGAGGAGTTTTTGGCCCCTGTTAAGAGCACGATTTGCTACGGTAAGTACATTTACTTGTTCAAACAAAATCCTTGACTTATTTTAACTTTTTACGAATTAAGCGAAAAACATGGGCAGCCTAATAAGCTCAAATGTGGCAAACTAAAAACATTAAAGGGTATGCATACTAGTTTTTGGTACTCGAGCGAAAAAACAAAATAGGCATCATTCTATCAGGGCGGTGACGCTGGTCGTATTTGAGTTTGCAGGAATTTTTGCCGACTGGACGGAAGCGCGTTAGTATATGTAAAAAGATTCTTATTAGAAACGTGAAGTCGGTTGTTGATCGACTCCAGCGAAAACAGATCGAATAAACGATTATGAACAGTTATGGCTTTAAGTTGTACCTTTCTGAAGCTTACCGCTGAAATCCGCCTAGCTTAATTGAAGAATCTATGCTTTACGGAAATGTTTATGCGGGAGACTGAACGTCTCAGCAGTAACATAATAAATCGAGTGTGTTCTTGGTAGAACTACTTAGAAGTCAACTGAATTTCTTAAAGTTGATTATAACCGCTGTGTTGGCGTTTTGTTCGAAACACATATGGTCTTACTACGTAAAACGAAAATTTGGGTTCTTGGAAGACATTTCTATGCTAGTGGAATATATATTCATCACTCGCCATCGCTAAGCTGGTATTTACGCGAACACATAGTAGCATCTTGTACACCAGTATGCACAGTACGTCTGGATTGATAATCTTTGGTTCGTTTAAAGACGAGGGTAACTAAAAACAAAGTATATTATTCTAGCCTTACCAAGCGCGGCAAATCTAGCAATACTGAATAAAATTGAAGAATCATTCGTAGGTCGCGGGACCCTAGAAAGTCAATTGAACTTATGGACTTCACACAAGTAAAATAAAAGTGTGTGTATACTCGTACATATGCTATTCTCAAGCCACGGCTTTCTCTCAAATGCTCTAAACTCTTGTTCCAAGCTATTTTCAGAACTGGTAAAACTCGACAAATGCATTTTGAGCAGCGTCATGGAATTTTAAAGTGATATGTTTGGTTATCCCACCGAGTAACTTCAGCCATTTCGAATAATATATTCTATGGGGGCTTTCTGATCATATTCCCAAACATCTTACATGCTGTATAAAGGTGTACGAAAACGTGAGATTTTCTGCTACTTTTTTCCGTTACCATACAATTCGAAACCGAACATTTTAGGGGTCGTTTCTTGAGAATAACAGTCAGTCCTGGGGAGTGAACTGTGGAAAACCCAAATTCCAGAAATCGCAACGAAGTTCATGTAAAAAATAGAGAAAATCCCAGATGAGTGAGTCATCATCTACAAATTTTAAGTCTTTGTCGAGCCGTATAGAAATTTCTGCCCCTGAAATAAACCAAAGTGCAGTGCTTAAACGATCTTGTCCTGAAAACCTACATTGCTCACATAGAAATGGAAAAAATGGAAATAAACGATAAACGGTAGTGTATTCATAACTCAGCTGTCACTAAAAATGACAGTTTGAGTCAGTCAAATTTCTATACAGAGACAACTTCACCCTCACCCCCACCCCCAACCCCTTCTGATCGTAAATGTACCTCTTCAGCTATTTCGAGAAAGGTTGTCGGAAAAAATGTGCCGCGACAATCCAGAAAGGTAATATGGGATATGCTCAATACACTGTTCCTGACACTGTAGCTGTCGAACCAACTATTGTTTCTTTCCTTTAGCACTCGCGAACATACGTCCATGGCCTCTCCTGCCATTCTTTCAAATTTCTTTGAAAAGCAGTGAACTCAAAACCACCCAAAATGCCTTCCGGGGTTGTCGCGTGCACTTTATCCGACAACCTTTCTTGAAATAAAATACCTGTAAATCAACCGCAAAGACGCCACCGCAAGTGCATGATTAAACAGTGGCAGTTGTAATTTAGGGACGCACTCTTCGCAAAGCTTGTACGGATAATTTAATTGGGTTATCTTCCAGTTCTGCAGCGGTATGCAGTGATATTTGGTGTATAAAGCGACTGAGGAATAGTTACGGTGAGTACTCCGGGTTTAAACAAACACTTTGCATCAAACAAGCGGCGTTCATCTAAGCATTGTAAGAAGAAACCGCTTAACATTAGGGACATTATCCTCAGTTACGGGTAAAATTTCTTGGAATCTTCTATGTGTGTATGTGATTATACCGCCTTGTACTTATCTGCAAAGGTCGTGTAAAGTTAAATAGGTAATAGCATGATTTGTAGCGATATTTTGCATAAATACCAAGAGAAATTTCGAAATTGTTATACGTAATTTCACGAGCCGTTAGGCGAGTGAAATTTGAGACAATTTTGAAATATCAGTGGTGGTATTCATGCCAAACATCACGTACAAATCATGCTATTATTTGTTTATACTACTACCCACGAAAGGTGTGTAATTTTCACATGTAGGTATTTCAAATTAAGCTAAAATACCACTGCTCTAAGCCAATCAAATTGCAGAAATTTCTCATGTAGTAGTATTACAACATTTATCATTTCCTCTTGAAATCAGGTTGTATTGTGTCAAAATTGCCATTTAACATTCAGTGTTTCATTTAGAGTCCAAGTGACTTGGAAAAGAAAAGGTATTACCCTAGCGTTATCGAGTACTGAGCTAGCTAGATTCAACTCTCTGTCCCCCTTCCAAAAATTCTCGGAAGTGGCAACTGGCTATCTATTCATTGAGTAATGTCACTTTGACATTTCGGAGAAACCGTATCGCTGGAATATTTTACCTCTTCAACACAGAGGTCACAACTGTCTCTAAAAACCTTATGTGTTACTTTTATCCGTAACTGTTTACGAGGAGAATTTCTCTTACAATAGTTTCTGGCGAAACGACTTGTCTACCTCTGACAGAACGATATAATGCTAATACTGCATTCAGGAAAACATGGTCGCACTTAATATAAACACTGCACAAGGCAAAGATGTCCCCCCTACCTGTAGCGACATCATAAAGGGTAAATCAAAAGGCCCCACATCTAAATACGGTGGGACGACGGAAGACAGAAAAACGGTTCCCGAGCTTTCATAAACTGAGTCTTTTCAGGATGGGAGCTCGTGTTAACGTCGTTGAAAGAGCTGAGAAACACAAGAATGGCTGAGCCAGACCTGATAATTAGCATAATACTATAGTGTCTGACCTTTATTTCGTCTGAAACTAATTTACGGCGTTGTAGTGCAAACTATGTACCTCCCGGGGGGATACTCCTGGGAATTCTTGGTGGGGCTGTACCGCCCGGTTCTTCAAATCCTGACCCGATTTCAGGCCAAGAAATGTAATTTTCCACACCCGTTTTCAGACTAGACCTTTAAAATCCATACACGTTTTCAGACCTTGCCTTTAGGCAGAAATTATGTTATCATTACTTAGGTTAGAGCGTAAACAAAAAAATTATTCAAATGTATTTCGAATTCGCATATTTCTCTTTCTTTCTTACTCATTTGGAATTGAAACGTTAAATGCGTTCATATACTCCGTAGTTCCCTCGATAACCATACCCGTTTTCAGACCAAAACGGCGAAAAAACCCTACCCTATGGGGCGGCACAAACCTATATGGCTTCTATAAGAGAGTACCCCCCCCCCCCCCCCTCCCCCCCCCCCCCCGGGTATGTAGCATTAACATTGGACGAAATGCAGTCAAGAAAACGAAGTATTTACTAACATCAGTACGACCAGCCTATTATGAAATTTCGAAATTTTAATCGCTGTCTTTGAATTTTATGGATAACTTGAATAACTGAAAAGACCAAAGAGTGACAGTAACCAAATTTAATGAAGAATTATTAGCACGAAAGACGAATACCTAGAAAATCCCAGTAAGTGAAAAATGGATTTGTGTATTAACTGCAGGAGACAAGAGAAGCCCGCAAACATAACATCCAGGTTGCCACTAAGAATAAATGCAATGCATAAAACGCAATCTGATCACGCGCGTTTCATTCACGTTTGTACCTTTCTATCACTTGAATCTGCTGATAACACACGTTTTGACTTTCCATCACGTGAAACTGCGCAAAGTAACAGTGTTGGAACAAGAGCCGTTTTGACTTTCGATCGGAAGACATGAAACTATAACCTTTTGTTAAGGCTCGTTAATAAGTGACATTCTGTGAAGCAACATTAAGAAGAAAGTAAGCCCAAGTTAGAGTCTACATATTGGTTACTGCGCTTTTCAAAAACACTCGAATTCTGAATTTGACGGGCAGAAGCCAACTGCGGTTTGCGTTTATCGCTGCAGTCAATCATCTTAGCGGACCTCTTAGGAAACAGTGGTAGTCTTTACACTAGAGCCTAAGTAAGCTAAGAAATGTTTCAAGACAAGTAAATTTTAATCACTTCAAGTAAAATAAACCTTTACGGACAACCGATTATTTTTTACTTCAGGGTTGCGTTCGATTGGGAAATCCGGATTTCGGAATTGCAATCGAACGCGAAATCCGATAAGGGATTTCACCTCCGAGAAATCCGTCCTCAGGGTGGGTTCCAATTAAGAAATCCAAATCCGGATTTCATGGATTTACTTTTTACCGTTCGATTGGGAAATCCGAAAAAGGATTTGCAAAATTGTTCTTGTGTACAGCGGTCTTCTTTTTGCTAATTATGCGTGCGCTTGCAAGACCGCTGTTCTTAAGGACAGTTTTTCAAATCCTTTTGCGGCTTTCCCAATCGAACGGTAAAAATGAAAATCCAAAAACAGATATCTCAGCGTTGAAATCCGCTTTTGGATTTCGCGTTCGATTGCAGATCCGAAATCCGGATTTTAAAATCTAAATCCAGATTTTCCAATCGAACGCACCCCAGGTTAACTTAAAGCTATTTTCCAACGAGATATAACTAAGATTGATTGACATGTTTCGCCTTTCTCAAAGCTCAAGAAACAGCAAGTAAGCTAAGTCGGTCATAAGGACGGTTTTCAAGTCACTTGAAACTTTCTTAAATAGTTTCAACGTTCCGACTTTAATGAGATGGAAAGTAAAGTTACTTGAGATTTTACTTAGGCCGTCACACACGAATTTCAGCTCCTAAGTCTTACTTAACAGCCTAGTGTAAAGACAACCGATATATACTGTACATTTCTTTATGTGTTACCAACAAAATTGGTACAGTACTTAGCCTAACCCAGTTAAATTGCTACACTGGGTTGGTTTCGCTTACCCCCTGCTCACTCCCTAACTGATCAAACATGTATGATGTATGTCCAATTAACCGCAATGACGCCATTTATTCAGACAGTGAGAGCTCAAGTTACCTTTGCAAAATACGTTACACGCAATTGCAGTTCGCCGTTTAATAGAAATAATAACTCGCGTCTTTAAGATTAAGGATTTTTGGGTAAGTTCTGGTAAGTCGCAGAACTCATTGAAAACAATTTTTTGAAAATTCTCTGTACCATTTTTTTTTCTCACTCAAGCAACATAATGCGAAGGTCAGGTTTCAGTGTTGTCATGCTATACTAAAAATGAGTCCCATAAGACTTAATATAACGATCTGCAGCAGTAATTTCGATAGATTTTCGAATGGTCTCGGTGAAAACAACATGCGCAACCTACACCACTGTGCGGGGATACCATTGCGTATGTCTGATAGAATGCTTACACAAACTCCCAAATTTTTCTAAATGTTTTCACTGCGTGTCTTTAAATGGTTGTTGACAGTTTCTTTCGTTATCTTTTAAGTAATTCTGAGTGTAATTTATCACCGTAGGGCAAGAAACGAAAGAAATGAGAAAGAAATGAGTTCTTTAATTGAGGTCTTGGTAAAGGAGCACTTCTGAAATGATTGGATTCCGGCTTTGAAAACTTTCCCAGTAGATTAAATATGTGTGGCAAAGGTCCTTTTGTCATCTTGTTTACATCAACAGTTATCAACGAGATCAGTTTATTTTACATTTACATTTCCTTTTTGTTCGGTTAAAGACGAAGCGAGCTTTGAAAAAAAAAATAAAAAAGCTAATGTTATAGCGTCACTGAGTCTGCTAGACCCAGCTTGTATCTTGTTGTTGATGGAAATTTTATACCATTGCTGGGTTGTGATACTTGTTTAGACTTGGAAGTGCTTGAGTTTATGAACCTTGAACTGATAACTACTCCAGAGTCAAAACAACCAGAGCAAGAAATGCCAAGTTTCTTCCAAACCAATCCTACGTTGCAGGATTATAAAGATTGTTTTAGTGATAAATCTGGCAAGCTACCTAACAAAGTACATTTGGAAGTTGATCCTTCAGTTCCTCTAGTGGCACATCCTCCCAGAAAAATTCCAATTGCACTTCTTGAACCACCACGAGAGAAGCTCACAGAGATGGAACGTACTCCTTGGGTTTCATCTATGCTAGTGATTGACAAACGAAAAGTGAAAGAAAAGATTACTCCACTCTCGAAGAATGATGTTCGAATTTGTATTGACCCAAAGCACCTAAACAAAGCTCTTAAGAGACCACACTATCCAATGGTTACTGTAGAGGAGGTTGCCAACCGATTATCGGGTGCAAAGAGTTTCATGTCCCTTGATGCTTGCAGTGGATACTGGCAGCTCCCAGTGAATGATGAAAGCTCAAAGCTCTTAACATTTAATACCCCCTAGGGTCGATATCGATTTACAAGGCTCCCTTTTAGCATCTCTTCTGCCCCTGTAATCTACCAAATAGAGATGGACAAACTCTTTGAAGGAGTTCCTGTGGAGATTATAGTTTATGATTTCCTGATACATGGTAAAGATCAAACCGATGCTGATCAGAAATTGAGAAGAGTACTGGATAGAAGCAGAGAAGTAGGATTGAAGTTCAATTCAAAGAAAGTGGGAGTTCCTGAAGTGAGCTATGTCGAACATGTGTTCTCGGCCGAAGGATTGAAACCTGACTCTGATAAAATCCGCGCGCTCAGGGAGATTCCTCCTCCTTCTGACAAAGAAGGTGTACTTCGAATACTAGGAACTGTCAATTACCTTGACAAGTTCATTGAACACAAAGCCAATCTACAAGAGCAGATTTCACAGCTTACCCAGAAAGATGTAGCATTCGTGTGGGAGAAACCACATCAAGAGGCTTTTAATAAGCTGAAGTCTGTCATCACTAGTGCACCGGTGTTAGCATACTTTGATAACAGCAAAGAAACGGTGATAAGTGTTGATGCCAGTAGCACAGGCCTTGGTGCAAAGGAAAGGCTTTTGCTCTCTCCCATGTGAGCTCCATGAATTTTATCTAACACTTTATCTCTCAATGGTCTTGGCACTACAGTTCTGTCTGATTTAAAACACTTGCCATCCTCAACACTCAGCTCTTTTCTGAAATTCCAATATTCCCGGGCAGGTTCATCAACTTTTTCTTTCTTAGAGGGCCATCCTTTCAAAACGTACTCCATAACCACTCTTGATGTCTCATCAGCACCTGAGCTGTCCTTGAATCTCTTCAGGGTGCTGCTTTCTAATCCAAGTTCCCTAACAAGGTTAACTCCAATCACATCTTCGGGTTCACTGAATGGTTCAGTTTCACTGAGAGGTGCTCTGCTAAAACAGTCTGAAATGACCCGCTGTTTTCCGGGGACATAACACGTACATAACGCACCACAAGGTCATACTTAGTGACTTTCGGCAACATCCTCTGTAGCCTGGGAGGGGCCTAATTCAGTGGTTTCCGAAAGATTGACTCCAGCGGTTTTTGTTCTGTCTCAACAATACCTCTGCGCCCGTACACATATGTGTGAAACTTTTGCGCTCCCCATACAATCGCTAACAGCCCTCTTTCAATATTTGCATACATCTTCTCTGAGGGAGTCAATGCCTTTGAACTGAAGGCAGGGGATTATGTTTTCTGGCCTTCCATGACTGCCCAAATCAAAGACAAAGTCAGTTCCTGTGCCGTGTGTAATGTGTTCCGCAACTGACAACAAAGAGAATCATTACATCCTCATGACATTCCAGGATTACCTTGGCAAGTAGTTTGGACTGACCTGTTTGAATATGGTGGCCAAACGTACCTGTTAGTTAGTGACTTCTGTTCGAAGTACTTTGAAATGGAACTGCTTCGCCAGAACAAAGACTCACTGAATCGTGTTAGGAGGGAGATGTTGTAACATTGAAACCTGTAGGGAGCCCCCTTAGAAACCCCTGACTGACTTACATGCGTACCCCGGAAACGGGGAACCGCGTGCGTTGTGTTTTTGACTTGCCTGGGACACGAACATGTTAGAATTGTCTTTACTAGTTGATTTTAGCTTCATTGAAAGATCTTATAACACTTCGCAAGTCGATTCGATTTTCAGGTGACTAGGAAATTGTTGACCTCTAGAAGTCTATTAGGAAACTATTACTGAATGACTGAAGACTAGATTGTGACCTGAAAAAAACGTCTATTAAAATTATTATTATTATTAATTGTAATAATAATTATTTTAATTGAAATGAAATGTTTTTAATTCGAATATTTTTTAATTAAATGAATTTTTTCTGATCAAAACTAAGTGTTTTTTTTAAACGAAAGGAATTGTAAATAGTGTTTTGACGGAATAGTTTTTTTTACGTGAATTAATTGTAAATAGGATTTTAATAGTTAGCATTATTATTATTATCATTGGTATTATTAGCATCATCATTATCATTATCATTATCATTAAAATTCTCCTTGCCACTATGGCCTCATTAAAACACAAAAAACAACCACGCTCCTTTGCTTGGCACACTGAGAGGTCTATTCAGTAAAATCACTAGCCGGTAAAATATGTGACTACCTACACTTTCACTCGACAAACCCTTCGACTCGAAAGTGGGTGGGTAGGGAGGGTCTAATAAAATTACAATACAAGCTCTATTAACCTTTTGCTTCAATAGTTTATTCAAACTTTAAATGAATGGCCTCTGACACGTGTTAGGCGGTATTAATATAGCCCTACGTTAATTGCAAACTGAAATATGATATGGCCGACTAATAACCATAGGTCTACGTCAAATAAAGCATTTTAAGCGAAGCTCAAAATCAGTCCATTGTTATTATCATTACTATTATTGTTGTTGTTTTCATTGTTGTTATTATTATTTCATTGTTCATAGGTCTGTTCAAACAGCAACTCTCTTATCTACTGGGATGTGAACAGCACAGATAAGTCAGTATGCAAGTTTCGTTGGCTGCTTTCGTGTTTGTCTGCCTCACGCTCGTAAACTGCGGCAAGGCGAACTTCCACGAAATCAACGGCAGTATCAGTAAGAACCAGACCTTGACCTATGCAGACGGACCATACCTGGTTACAAGTGACTTGGTTATTTCTCAGAATGCCTCTGTTTTCATAGAGGCCGGTACCGAATTTCTGGTAGTTCCAAATATCGGAGTTCACGTTCAAGGAACATTACTCGCCAAGGGGACAAGGTCTCAAAGAATCACTTTCCGAGCAATTTCTTGTAACGAAACCAAGTTCTGTAATAGCACTAAATTATACAACCCTGGAATAAGGCTGGTGGATGGTTCATCGTACAAAAAGGGACGTTTGGAGCTGGAGTGGAATGGACAGTGGGGAGGGGTTTGCTATGAATACTACGGCAGTAGTTGGAATTTCAAAAATACTCAGGTGGCATGCAGGCAACTTGGCTTCTTGAGAGCCAAGAGATACTATTTGCAGGCTGCTAGCAGTGGCCCCGTGTGGATAAGAAATGTAAACTGTAATGGGAATGAGCAGAGCCTTTTCCAATGTAGACACCGTGGAGCTGGAAATCATTGTAGTAAGTTATTAAGATATAGAGGGGACAAAAGGCTCGCGACGCATCGATATTTGATCTGCAGAAGAAAACGGAAAAGAGTGTATTGCCGTATATATTATATATTACCAAGAGACGAGTATATTACGCTCCTAAGCGGCAGTTCAGGGACGACTAGATATAGCCATATGATTATAGTCAAAAAGGGCCCGGGTCACGTGATGTCTCATTCAGGATACTTACCAGATTTTCATTCTGATATCTAAGCTGGGTTTGGCGCATCGAGAGAAATGGTCGGACATTTACATGTACGCATATGAATAAGCTATTGTGGCGTATCCTTGGTGGGGTAACCTGCAAGTCCATATAATCTCTCATTTAGTTAATTTGATCACGTTTATATCATTTCTCCTCGCCCTTTCCCTTCGTTTCTGAGATTTTGGAGCCCGGATAGGGGAAGGGGGAGGGGAGTGGTGGCTGGGTGGGTGGTTGGGGAGGCGTTACTGTGGATTTGAAGTGACAGGGATGATCGAAGGAGTTTTTTGGGTTGTTCCGGAAATAAAGTATAAAACCAAACTTGTTTTGCGACTGTTTCTGCTTCCAGGAAATTTTTTATGGCTCCGAAATTTGGCATGGTTTCTTTGGGGGGTTAAATTCTGGTCCAGGGATTTTTTTGTTTTGTTTTTTTGTTTGAAGCTCTAAGGGTTTTTTTGGGTTTTGATCCAGTGCCCCCATTCGATCATCCCTGTCACTTGAAGTCCGGATTACACCCCTGGGTTTTGGAACTTTCCAGGCTTAAGAAACGTGCCTTTTGACTCCTTTTCATTGAAATGACTGCAAATTTCGTTTGGTTGGATTTCAAAAACTGGATAAGATATATGCACCCGTTTTCAAAAAAGGTTTTTATATGGGGAGATCCATAGATAGATATTTACGTTTGTTTTCTTGCACGTGCGCCAGTGTGCATTTTCACCCGTTGGTGTCCATGGGCCCCCCTAATTCTCTCTAAGTTTGTTTTTGTTGCGGATGGTGAAATCACCAAATGACCTAATACAAAAATATTCAAAGGACACTCAACAATTTCGACCCTCAACACTAGACCTAACCAGCCGTGGTCTAAGCAACATCTAGAAATACCCTGAAGAATACACAATACATGAAGTTAAAGGTGTCTTTTCAAGGATTAAAGATTTAAACTGGTATGATAAAATATACCAGCCACCTGAGTTTATTTTTAATTAATCCAGATTTACTGAGTGTTTGTGGCAGATGGACATAGCAATTCTATGTCGCTCCTGTATTTAAAAATGGAATGCAGCTAGTTAAGTAGAGTACTAGACAATTTCCCTCTCACAACTTTGCTAACTTTTGCGAGAAATTTCATTAACATTTACAACCAATACCCTGGCTCATCTTCCAATCTCTAGGAAATAGCAAAATTGACAGTTTGCTTTTGTCTAGAGTGACCCATCCAATGTACAGATCAGAAATTGCATCAAGACAAAACGGATACTAGACAACGTGATGGACTTGACTGCGATTTTTTTCTCCTCTCTAGATCGTTACAAAGACATTGTAATTGAGTGTGACACGTTAATACCTTACCTAAAAGAGAGGGTTTATTGGAAAGGCATTTATTTTTCAATGTCAAACTCCACGAGAGAACAAAAGCAAAGAAGCTCATTCCTGGAAAACGTCGACATAATCAACGCCTTCGATGGCGTTAAGGCACTAAACGAGGCTCCGGTTTTGTTAAATGTCACTGTTAGAGACGGTATAACTGGAATTGTGGCAAAAGAATTGAATCACCCGCTGAAAGTGGTGGATTCAAAGTTTTTGAGATGTGAGTCTGTGGGTATAAGTGTCACAAGCAGAGGGGCACCCGTTGTGGTCCAAAATGTAACTGTTCAAAATACAAGTTATGGGAACGCATTTGTGTACGAGTGGATACCAACAGATGCTGTGGATCTATGTCGCGTCGATCCAGAAACCGTCTCATTCCCCTTGGTTTTAAACGCATCTGGTGGTACTTTACCAAATGACTGCAGCAAGGTAAGAGTAGGATATAAGGGATACGTTTCTATGGAAACTGTGATGTTACTCAGGTGGAATGAGAATGAGAATGTTGACAATTGTTGGAAGCTAGAAGCTTCTCGGGTCAAACAATAACAACATTCCTCGAAGGTACGTAATTAAGAGCCACTTTCTGCGGGGACCGAGTGAGAGGTAGCACATGATGGAAAAAATGCTTATCCTCATATTTCGTCAGAGATGCCTTATGGTGAGTCAATATATGTGGTGTGACTTTTGTTGAAATATTTTTTTCTTTTCCAGAAATTTCTCAAAAACTGTAACGAGTGGCCACCGCCATAAAACATTTTGGGCTTTTATTAACTGCTAGGAAAAAGTCCGCTAAACTTTGAGGAAATCACGCATTGACTTGTCAACAAACGCGAGTAATCGTCAATTTACGCTCTTTGTTATCAAAGCCACAGTACAATAGACTTACCTTGTAGAACCAGCAGTCAAAAATTGTTTTTTCTCTCTATTTTCGTTTCAAATTGCCTTCTCCATAGTGTAACTTGATTACTTTCGTTTGTTGACAAGTCAATGCGTGATTTCCTCAAAGTTTATCATTTTTTTCATCATGTGCCGCGATTTTTCGATTTCACGCGGTCTCCAGAAAAATTCGCTCTTAAGAGGACAGGTCCTAAACTCTGCATTCAAGCCAATTGGCTCATTAGGCCTGAGCTTAACCTGGTGTCTGTAGCATGAGGCGACTAGTAACATTTTTATCACCTTTTTTAAGGGACACCAGTCCATAGCAGGGCTGCCCTCACATAAAATTCGCCGGTGTCCATTTATTCACCTGGTTGAAGTAAGGCACTGTGGGGGGTAATGTGCTTTGCCCTAGGACACAACACAAGCACACTTGCTCTAACTACTGCGCTAATAGGTAACAAGTTGACACAACATGCGGTGCGAAGGGGTGTCAGATGTTTGCATCATCGAATTTTATAATTTACCAAATTTTTTCAAAAGATCAATCCTTAACAGATTCTATACAAGCGTTTTTTTTCTGTCGTTATAGACCTTTCGAGCAACAGCTGGCAAAGCGCTCTGCATACATTTTCGTGTAATTGCGGGAAGTGCTTTCGAACTCAATGTTACCGACGGAAGTACCTCGAGTAAAGACCTACTCAGCAGGATTACCAGTGATTACAATGGTAAAACGATAAAAACTGGCTCCTCGTCTGTTTTGGAACTGCATTACTCATCTAAAGGGAGTGTTGACAATCCTGCTTCCTTGGAGATCATTATAATGGATGATTATGGTAGGGTTTTGTATCTGTTAACTACGGGGGTGAAGATGTAATAGCGGTACGTAATGTTACTGGTCTGACTTACAGGGGCATCCAACGGGAAATTTTGAGAAAAAGACCTAACGACAAGAAGAAAGCGTAAATAAAGCTTTCTGAAGCCATTTAAGCATTTTGGGAGATTGCTGGGATGAATTTATCTGTTCCCCTGTCCCAGCAAGACTGATGGAAGAGTTCCTAGCCAGCAAGGGGCATCTACAAGACCTACAACCGGCTGCAACCTAACTTACTGGAAAGTTTTCCAGCAGACGTATGTCCAGACATTACTGCCTAGTCTGGGTGTGGTCATAGGGCAAACTTCATCCCTTACATAAAATCAAATTCCCTACTTTACATATTACTCGTTCCAAATCTCCCAGCCAGCAAATTAAAATTTACCTGAAGAACAGGTATTTTGAGGAGCATATCCATTGGGTGCCCCTGGACGTACAAGGAAAAAAAATCTTCGATTCACCTTTTTTGATTTATTTTTCTTAGCTTTTTCGGTGCTATTGATTATACATGTATTATATGGTCTGCAATGCTTCACAAGCTTTATGTGGTTGAAGGGTGGGGAAGCCAAAAGCTGTAAACACTCACATTTAGTTTTTAGAGCTAAGAATTTTACTTTAGCAAAGGCTTATTTTTAGATTAGTGAATTGTAAAATGAAAGAATTCGCAGTCACCTGACGCCACTTGCTCCGTTAGCTCAATATGAAGCGTCGGTTTTCTGTGCGGAAGGTCATGACCGGACAAACGCTCAGGGTCTTAAAAATCTAAAGACAATGTGCTTCCTTTGTACTGGCAGCTTTAAATGAATAGAGGTTCTAGTCTTCTCAAATAAGGAGTGAAAAAACAGTTTTAATTATTAAAAAGAAAAACAATCAGCCATTTCGAATTTTGAAGCAGCCATCTTGATCTCTGAGCCCTCATTTAGCCAGTTAAACCTTTTTTTTTTTTTTTTTTCTTACTACGCCCGGGAGTGGTGGGAGGAAGTCCCCCCCTACAACTTTACAGCCACCAAAATTACACAGGGTAAAGGACTCATTATTTCCAACATTTAGGCATAAATTGACTGAGAGAATAACACATCTTGACAGGGATGTCGAACTACTTCGTTCTGGCAGTGTATATGGTGCGCAGTACTTTTTTGAACCAATTATAAAATAATTCGGGTTTGATGCTACTTTTTGTAGACACTAATAGATTTCATTTTGCCCCGTTGATGACCTAAAAAGACGGAAACAACTTTAAATTTACTAGTGGTCAACTCGCTTAGAGATCGTAAGCCCCTTTTTTGTCCCTACCGCGTTTCGGCTACTGCGTTTTGACGGCGTTATCTGTGATACACAACTATAGCACGGCAAAACTAAATATTGTTTTGATACGTTCTTTGTGTTAAAGAATCTTCTATTTCCATTTTAGCTCTACCTGTATCATTGTTAATATCAGGGAGCAGCTTTGTGAAAAACTCCAACGACGGAATTTTAATTAAGAAAATGATCGGCCACTCCAAAATTTCCAACACCATGGTGACGCAGAATAACCACTATGGACTTCACATAATAGAGGCACGAGGCAGAGTAAATGTCCTATCGTCTTTATTCCGGGGAAACAATAAACATGGTATGTACGTGGAAACTATTTCAGGATTGATTGCACTTGAAAAAGTAAACTCCTCTAAAAACCACCAATCGGGTATGTCAATTGGCGTTGGAAGCATATTGCTATCAGTATCAGACAGCAACTTTGATAACAACGATCATAGTGGGATACGCATCACAAACCAGCTTCACTCTACCATTAATATATCTGACGCTCAATTTAAAGGGAATGCCGGTAATCATCGTAATTACGGACTTTATCTGGTGGACTTCAAGGAAGATTGCAATGTTCAATTATCAAACCTAAACATAGTTGGGAACACGGGATCAAACGGAGCTTTTTTCGAACGGTTAAGTCTTGCCAATTTAATAATAACTTCCTCTAAGTTTGATGAGAACGGTTGGCATGGACTATCAATTGCTGGTGTTTCGTGTCATAAAGGTACCTTTCGAAACATTTCTACGTCTCGGAATGCTAAGAGTGGCATTTATGTGTCTGGCGGAAATTTTAACGTATCATTAATATCTTGGACTTCAGTTTCAAACAGCCGTAACGGATTTTACTTAGAAAAACAAGCAGGAAAGGTTAACGTAAATGGCTGTCTTGTCAATGATAACACACTAGATGGTTTAGTATTTTTCGACGGTGGGTATGTTCGGCTTTACGCTGTACTCATTCAAAAGTGTACGCTTTCAAATAACCGATACGGTGTACTTTTTAGGCTTCGCCGTTATACAGGCCTCATGAACTACCGGGTTATTGTGGTGGACTCTACAATTGCCAACAACACTCAGGGGGGATGTAAATTTTTCTCTGGAAGTTGCGGTAACCCTCATCGCAACAGGTACCTTAAACTTTCGTTTGCAAGAAATAAAGTAATGGGAAATAAAAAATACGGCCTGCTCTTTTACGGTCCCGAACAATCCGAGGTGGAGGCAACTGTACAAAATAACACAATGAAGGAAAATACGGGATATGCCTTAAGCCTGGAGTACACAAAGTACTGTAGTGCCTCTCCACTCTTTCCAGTGCTAGTGAATGTTCAAGGAAACATTTTTACCAAGAATAAAGGAGAATATATTGTCTTCGTCAATTTCAAATCCATGACATCGAAACACCAAATGATCATCTCACAAAACAGCTTTTTTGAAAACCAGAATGTCCGCAAGTTTTCAACAAACTATGCCCGTGTCAAGACCCAGACTGTCCTAGCTATTAATAAAGGGAACGTAACAGTGAAGCGCAATGCATTTGATAATCCTATGTTTCCCCATGAGATAGCAACCCTATATATTGAACACAAGATAATGTATCAAGCTATAGAAAACTGGTGGGGCTCAAACGATGAATGCAAAGTAAAGGAAAGGATTTTTGACTACGAAGATCGAGTCGAGCTGGCCCGAATTCAATACTATCCATTTTTAATCTATCACAATTCCAGTAGTGTCATTATCCATAATACTACAAGGGCATTGTGCTTTCTACAGGGAACGAAAGTGGGTGGCATATTGAACGAGTCAATTACGATACCTAGAAACAGTGGTGCTTATCAAGTGACTGGCGATGTCACAGTTTTTTCCGATGGCACTCTAACAATCGAAGAGAATGTCACTTTGGAATTTGACTTGAAGGCAGTGTTTCTAATTTATGGAGAGATCATTATCAAAGGTACCAGCACGAATAGGGTAAGGTTTATCCCAAAGAAACCCTCTGAAAAGGCAGTAAGGCTGGCGGATGGTCCAGGTCCATGGAAAGGAAGACTTGAAATATGGTTTAATAATACGTGGATGCCGATATGCCTGAGGTGGTACCAGCGCGAATATAGCATTGTATGTAGACAATTGGGATACGAGGAAGATGAATACTCAAAACGCTATCCGAGTGGCAAAGAAACTGTCTTTCTGCATAATTTCCGATGTGATACAAACGAAAATGACAATGTTGCAAACTGTGGTCGGGAAAACTGGATTTCTCTACCTCATTGCTCCGATTATGTGGCATATATTGCTTGCAAAACTCCCTACTGGACCGGAGTTCACTTAGCAATCGCCCCAAAGAAAAGCGTCATCACAAACCTCGATATTAGCTACGCAGGCTTCGATTACAGAAATGACTTAAAGATTCCCGGCATCGCCTTAAGGATTGATCTTAGTCACAACATAAGCGGTGTTGTTGTAGATAATTCCGCCTCTATCGGCGTCCAAATAATGTACCCAAATCCCTTTAAAACCTCTTACGACATGCACAATGTCACCATATTAAACACCGAATCGGATGGAATTCGTTTGGAATCCCCACTGGTCAAGATCATGAACACTGACGTTATAAACACGAAGGGTCGTGGATTTTTGTCTGATTTTAATTGGAAGCCCCTTAACATTCATGTGTTGAATATAGCCGAAGCCAAAGTAAAAAGGTATTTACAACTGTGCACCGATAGACATATCTTTCTAGACAGTGCCAGCCCAGTATACTACTTAAGCGTAAAAATTGATTATAGCAAAGGCTGCGAGACCATTATCACAGTTCCACAGAAATACTACATCGGAATGCAACTCATCTATCAAAACCTACCCTATTACGTGTTATTCCACGTTTACAGCGGCAAGAACAAGACATCAGAAACTGTATGGGATATCCATTCGTTAACATGGCCAAGCCGTCCAGTGTGGAGGTCAAACACTAGCACAGTTCTTCTCGAAAGTTACTCCCGGTATTACCCTGACCATCGTAGTTACACGGTGCATTTAATGGTATATCTCATTAAAGGTAAGCCTCATTAAAATTAATGGGGTAAATGTTAAAAAGCATTTTAACACAAACTAAGCTTCCCCTCCACTCAATATATATTAAGTGCCACTTATTAACCGATAGTGAGGCCATAACACCGAAATCTCAGACCCGGAGGCCTTAATGTCAAGGTCAAGATCTGAGATCTCCTTGGGGTGAATTCACTCCTAGTGGTATATAACGAGTTTCAATTTCATAAATTATAAGATATATATATCTCTGAAATGCCAACCTCAATGAACATGAGTGTTTAATTTGTACTACAGCAGACAGTACTGTTTCGGCCTTCTGGGATTCATCAGTGCAGTGCTGATGCCAGGATGGAGGTTATGAAGCTAAAAAGCCACTCCAAATGATACCACAATTGTGTTATCATCTAAGCCATGTCAGAGTGCTCTAACTAGTAAACTAGTGAGCATGCGCAATGCTATGGCCCTAACTCATCCTAAGAGTGCTCCATTTCAAAATGAAAGCAAAGCTTTATATGCGAAAGAGCAATATCTAACTGCAGACAACACTGTTTCGGCCCTCTGACCCTATATATATTTATTATATATCTTGTAGATAATTTTTTATCTCAGTTGATTTTTATTTTTCCATTGTTTTGGGTATGGTAATGTATGCTAATGAATTTAAAACAAAGGAAAAATAAAAATTGACTGAAATTAAAAAAATAACTGCAACATATACATACTGAGATGTACCAACTGAAAAGGCGCGAAATGAATTTGGTTCTGGTCTAATAAGAACCCGAGAGCCAATCAAATGGCGCGTATCGCTTTTTCCACGCGTGAGGAAAAATGATACGTCCAATCAGGTGCCACGTATCATGTATTTTGACGTGTGAGCCGTAACAAGGTGATTTTTATTCAGCTAGCAGCATTTCTCATATTTAAAGTAAACTTTCGCAAGTGTTGATACTTCAAAACATGAGCGAGAGGAGGTTTGTTCATCAAGATACTTGGAGTTTCCTCTGCCGAATCATTGTTGAATACTGTTTGGCTGAAAAACACCATTCATTTTGAAATGCGTGGTTGTCAAGAGCATTGGAATTTGTGCTGGGAAGATGTAAAGCTTTGTAAGGACGCACAAGGTAACGAATATCTAGTGTACAATAAAAGAAAGACAAAAACAACGTCTGGAGTAGACGCTTCAAACTTTCGTCTAAAAGTTTCTGAAAAAAGGTTAAAGAGAGGAGTCCAACTCAGATTAAAATTCAGAAATAATATTTCGACATTCTTTGCTTGTTGTATGCTTCAAACTTTCGTCTAAAAGTTTCTGAAAAGAGGTTAAAGAGAGGAGTCCAACTCAGATTAAAATTCAGAAATAATATTTCGACATTCTTTGCTTGTTGTAATGTTAAATTTATGTCAAAAATTTAAGCTTATGTTTTAATCCTTGCACGAGTTTCTCACTTGAAGTCGTGTAACAGAGTTTTGTCTTGGTTTGTCATGTCAGACGATAGGCAAGAATTTAAATCTCAGTATGTATATAATAAACGCAATACCACATGGAAACTGCTTTGTACGGCATTTACGCTCTCGTTGTTTTTGTATCAGAAATATCACTCGCTCGGCGCTGCGCTCACTCTTGATTTCTGATACGTCAGCAACTCGTGCTTAAATTCCGTACGTCCTCACTTTTCATGAAGTATTCAATATATATTACATTTTTTGCTTTAATATAATATAAATACTATTTTGCCAAATTATGAACCACAGGTACCCCAAGCTCACGAGCAAGAACCTTTCTTGCATAGCAGAAATATTATAAGGGTATGGAGATTCCAGCGATTGTTATTTAGGGGTTAAAAACAGCATTAAAGATACATCAAAATTCCTTGCCTTGTCGTCTTGACTGAATTTATGGTGTTTTCGTAGCCGTTCTTGGCCGTTTCATGGCGATTCCAGCGAGGTTTAGTTCTGCCGTTGTTGGTTGGTTGGAATCTCCATACAAATCCTTGTAATATTCATGATATGCAACAACGATTCTCACTCACTTTACACCATGTACTGGTTTGCCCCATGCAAGGGAATCCGGATTCCGGAATCCGGGAAATTTTGCTTGTGGAATCCGGAATCAGAGAAAATTTTGCCTTTGAATTTCGTTTTTGGAATCCGGATTACAGCTCAAGGAATTCGCAATCCCACTAATGATTAGAATCCAGAAACCATGTTCTACTCACAAATACAGGAATCAAGTACCTGGAATCCGGAATCCACAGCGTGGAATCCAGAATCCAAGACTGTCCTGGATTCCCTTACATGGGGCGATACTGGTCTTAGTGTGGCTTTGGTTTTGTTTCATTAAGGAAACAACAGAGAAGCATTGCCAGCACCAAACCTAGACACTTTAAACAGTACAAACCTGAACATTTTAAACTGTAACTTTTTAAACAACGCTCTTGGGGGAATTTTCTTGAGCAATGGACGTGACATCTTAGGAAACGTCAATATCCAAGACTCTGTGATTCGTAATTCGCAAAGGAGTGGACTTCAGACTACATTTGCAAGTGTCAAAAGACTGAGTCTCATAAACTGCTCGTTTATAAGAAATATCAATGGAATCCAACTTTCTACATTTTCTGGTATGGTGAACATTGAAAACACCACTGTGTCAAATTCGTCTAACAATGCACTGTATGCCCCATCTCGAGGAAAGAAGACGGTTTATTTAAGGAACAGTCGCATTACCTACAACAAAGGATATTCAGTTTATGTTTATGGAAACAGGCCGCAGCTTAGCTTTTATGCGATTAACAGCTTTTTTGAACAGAACCAAGACACGACCATTTATTTTGAAACCTGGTCGGCTGACGTTGAAGATGTTTACTTTAGAAACTGTACATTTCTATTAAACCAAGGACCCGCGATAAACATTAAGCATTCATCTGATATAAGTCATTGGGAATTTGTTGAAAACAAGTTCATGGAGAACGGTCAACCTTCAGTTATCAAGAAAACTCAATATAATCATCCAGATGATACACCTGAAATATACTTTAGTAGAAATGCATTTTTATACAACCACTGTGAAGACAAAGGCGTTATTGATGTTACGGGAGGAACAAAAGTATTAATAGTTGATGGAAATGTTTTCGAGGGAAACTACGGGAGATCAATTTTTCTTGAAGAGACATCATACTCGCCTTTGACGGCAAAAAATAACATCTTTTACAGCAATAAATGCTCCGAAAAAGGCGTTTTGGAAGTACGAGCGATGCATAGAGAAATCACGATAGATAACAACGTATTTGAATCAAACGAAGGCTTATTCATGGTTCTTCTTAACAGTGCCTTTCCGATAGAGTTGCAAATGGCGAACAAACACGCGAATTTTGGGAACAATACCTTTGTTAATAACACGAACGTGCCATCGAATAGCCTTGCATGTGAACTTAGTATCTCAGGACTAATTGATCACATAAACTTTTCTATACACCATAATAAATTCAACAGCTTAAGGTTTACGAAGGAGCTGTGTGTGTTCACCTTTGCTTCATCTTACTCAAGCAGGCTGGACATTTCTCTAAATTTCTGGGGCCACAATGACAGAAGTGGAATTCGAAAAAGAATCTTTGACGCAGAAAGCGATTACGAGTATGCCTGGGGTATGATCTCCCCATTCCTGAGCGATTCAGGAAACATTCTGCACGAAAAAAAACAAAGTGGTAACTTTGGTAAGGATAATAGCCTTTTAGGTGGACGACTGACATCCACCTTGCGGCTTGGTATTAGTCATAGCCCTTACAAGATTCTCTCTGATCTTACTGTCTTGCCACAGATTTCTCTAGTAGTAGATCCGGGTGTAGAGATGCAGTTTCATTCTGGCGTCGGCATGCTGGTTCTTGGTTCTCTTCTCGTGAATGGGAATGAAAGTCACCCTGTTTCATTTTCTCTTTTGGAAAAAGATCAAAGTAAAATGTCAATACCCGTTCGCCTTTTTGGAGGTACTTTCCCTTGGCATGGAAAGGTGGAATTATTACATGACGGTAATTGGATTCCACTGTGCTCAAACGTATCAGCTTTGCGGGAAGAAATGAATAACGCCAAGGTTATATGCAAACAGCTGGGCTATAAGAAGCCCTTGAACATCAGTCGAAGACTTCAAGGATCTATGGATGTAATGCCGTTTAGCATAATGTCTAGTTGCCATGAAAATGAATCCGACATCAGCCAATGTTCCCTGACATTTCAAAATCGCAGCTACGATAATTGTACACATGCAATGGTTCTCACCTGTTCTGGGGGTTTACCGTGGGGAAATATTCGATTTGTGCGTGACGAAACAAGCCCATTCGACGCAGCTATATCGCAGTTACAGCACATGAAGATCAAGCATTGTGGTATGAAACATGGGAAAGACGTCGCCGCGTTGGAAATCTTTCAGTACGTTCCAAAAGTCCATTCCGTACAAGTGTTAAACTGCTCAGCGGGTGGTTCCAAGTTGTGGTTTCCCGAAAAAGAAATGTTATTCGCAAACACCTCTTTCATTAATACAGGGGGAGTGGGAGCTGCAATCCTGACAACGAAAAAGAACGTTACTTTGCAGAGAGTCAGGATTATAAACAACAAGAATGGAGTGTTCTTTGGTAACCCGAATGGACAGTGGATGGACGGACTACTGAACGGACAAGTCATGCTGTGCGCTTCAGAACAAGTTGTAGATCTTCGAGATGGCGATGTCTTTCTGTACTTTAGACAACCCTTCATTACCATTTATAACCCCACTGTCACGTGCAAGAAATTAATTCGAACAGGAAACAATTATGGATTCGCTCTTAGGCTGATAGTAGTGAAGAACGTAGATTACATCACAATACAAGACCCTCATAGAAATACGATCATAAAGTATTCCTCAAGAAGTCAAATTTCATTGTCAAAACGAAGGCTTATTCCCTGGAGCAGTATCACAATCTTTTTCAAAGGATGGTTCAGCACCAGCGAAGTCCTTTTACATCTCGAGCGGGCAGAGGACAACGGTTTGTATTATTCCGATTGTCTATCGTCAGGATTTTGCCATTTTCTTGAGCAACTTTAGAAATATTTATCACAAAATAGTAAATACTTGAATCCTTAACTCTCGTCTTGCTGTCTCACAGATTTCCCTTGTACATTTGAAGTAAGTGATTGTGGCTGGAAAAACTATCCGGGAGGTTATTTCAATGGCGTTGCTCTGGCAAGGAAGTGGTATTGGAATGACATCTATGGCATGCATGGCGCCGTTTCTGATCATACATATGGCTACAGAGGGGGTGAGAGTTACTCTATTTTTTTGTATAATTAATAACAGTTTAACTAAAGACTTCACTAAAAAAACGAGATCTGACGTAAATTATTGTTCCTTCCTTTGCATCTGTTTCTTTTTTTTAAATGAGATTGATATTCTTCGCGTCATTGCCTGCAAAGAGATAAAAGTTTGATCAATATCGATGTCGAATAGACTCTTAAGACTCTAGTAATATCAACAGTTGTCCCTTTGTTTGCTAATAAGCTTGTTATCGTTCGAGGTCAGCGGTCTTGTCAGTTAGAATAAGTCTTGGATAAAAAAGCACATGGTTTTGTTCTTTGCTTAGTTTTCTCTTCGACCGCCATTGTTCTATTCGTTCATTGTTCAATGTAGATCTCTTCGGTTCTAAGCGATACAGTTGATTCAAGTTATCCCTGCCTACTCTCTTTGATTACGACTCGTGTCTTTGCGACATTATTTACGTTGCCCGTTGCATTAACGTGAAGTTTCGCTTTCATGGCATATTACGCAATTATAACTAAAATCAACTTACATGTACTTACCTACTTACCTACTTACTCACTTAGTTACCTAGTTACTTGCTTACTTACTTACTTACTTACTTACTTACTTACTTACTTACTTACGTGCTTACTTACTTACCTACTTACTTACTTACTTACTTACCTACCTACTTACTTACTTACTTACTTACTTACGTACCTACCTACCTACTTGCTTACTTACTTACTATCTTACCTACCTACTTTTTTACTTACTTAGTCACTTACGTACTTACTTACCTACCTACTTACTAATAACCATAGTAAAGAAACAGCACTAATAACCATAGTACAGAAACAGCACTTTTGAAAGTTACCAACGACATTATGATGGAAATTAATTCTCGGCATGTTGTTCTACTTGTGTTACTTGACTTAAGTGCTGCCTTTGACACTGTTGATCGTAGTGTTTTGTTGCGTAGACTTCAAACTTCATTTGGAATTTCTGGAGCACCATTAGATTGGTTTAAGTCGTACTTGTCAGCAAGAAGTCAACGTGTTTCCATTCCCGGCGCCTTCTCTGACAGTCTTCCTCTTGACTGGGGCGTTCCACAAGGGTCCTGTCTTGGTCCCTTGTTGTATGTCATTTACTCTTCAAAGCTATTTAACATCATTGAACGCCCACTCCAAATTCTCACTGTTATGCGGATGATTCACAAATATATTTCTCCTTCAAGCCCGATGACTTGTCAAGTCAACAAGATGCTATAACTGCCATGCAAAATTGCATTGACGACATTCGCTCATTGATAGAACACGACAAACTCCTTCTCAATGATGAAAAGACGCAATTTCTCGTCATTGACACCCGGCAACAGTTATCTAAAGTTAATATTTCTTCGATCACTGTGGGAAACCCTGCTATAATGAAATCGTTAGTTGTTAGGAACCTTGGCTCGTACATTGATGACAAGCTGACAATGAACTCCCACATCAACAAAGTCTGTAATGCATCATTTTACTATCTGCACAACATTAGGCGGATAAGAATACACCTATTGCGTGACTCCTAAGAGACTTTGATTCACGTGTTTGTCTCCAGCTGATTAGATTACTGTAACAATTTACTCTATGGATTGCCACAGGTACAAATCGATAAGATACAAAGAGTTCAAAATGCCGCTGCAAAGCCTATTTTTAAGCAACCTAAGTTTTGCCATATAACACCAGTCTTATCTCAGCTTCACTGGCTTCCCATCAAGTATCGCATTGAGTTTAAGATTTTAGTTATGACTTTTAAAGCTATTCACGGCATGGCGCCAGATTATATTTGCAAATTGATCAGCCGAAGGAAGTCAACAGGATATTCCCTTAGATCCAGCAAAAACGTTATGCTTGAGTTTCCAAGCGGCAAGATACTCCCAACACTTGGTGGTAGAGCATTCTGTTATGCGGCCCCAAAGCTCTGGAACAACCTACCTAGTGAAATATCCAGCCTTGACTCTCTGTCAAATTTTAAATGCCATGTGAAAACATATCTTTTTAAACAAGCTTTTAATTTGTAGTAGAATATTTGTTTCGTTTATTTTATTATTTATTATCATTTTATTTCATTTTTAAATGTTTCTACCTGCTTTTAAATTTTATTCATCTTTAGTCTTTCTTTTTAATTTATTGTAAAGCGCATTTGATCATGTGATCAGTTGCGCTATATAAGTTTAAATTATTATTATTATTATTATTATTATTATTATTATTATTATTATTATTATCATCATTATTGTTCATTAAAAAGCGGCAAACTGCATTCATCCGTGACTGGAGAGACTCTGCTTCCTATAGGCTTTTGAGGAACAAAGCCCAGTGGGAAATAAGGTCGGCAAAATACGATTATTACCATCGTAAAGTAAGTGACCTTGAGCATAAGGATTCGAAAAAATGGTGGAAACAAATTAAGTTAATAACTGGCCAGGATATAAAACAGGAATGGTACCATCAATTCCTAGGCGAAAACTGTCCTGATATTAAGTCTCTAGCTAATATGGTAAATGACCACTTTATTAGTTTGACATCGGACTTTGTTCCCTTTACCCCCTCTGGAGTAACCAATCAACAGGTCCCCCCCCCCCCTGCGACCTTGTGGAAAAAAAATAAGTTTAAAAACGGGCAGGGTATAAAAAAAGAAAGGGTACCATCATTGCTCAGGGCAAACTTTCCCTGTATTAAGGCTCTAGGTTAAATGGGTAAAGGCCACTTTTTTTATTTTGACTCCGACTTTGTTCCCCTTTCCCCCCCCGGGGTTAACCATCAACACGGCCCCCCCCCCCCTGCGACCTCCTAGTGACTGTCAGGGAGGTGCATGACTCTTTATCAAGCCTAAATGTCGGGAAAGCAATTGGCCCTAATATGATACCGAACAGGGTCTTAAAGGATTTCGCACCTGAACTCGTCCCGCTTATTATGGATATTTATAACTGCTCACTCAGGGAGGGCTATGTTCCTGATCTGCTGAAGTGATCCATAATCAACCCCCTTCCCCTTTTTTCCGCCTCAAGAAATTCAATCTGACTTGAGACCTATCTCTCTGACATGCACACTTGCCAAAGTCATAGAAGGGTTTGCGCGCAGCAGGCTCGTGGCGCAAATTGCGGAAAAACTTGATCCACGCCAGTACGCAAGGGAGGGGCACTCCACCACGCCGCCTTGATTTATATCCTACAGGCGATTCACGAGGCAACTGTTCTTGCCGATTACTCGAAGGGTTTTGACCTGATTGACCATTCAATTCTTCCGAAGGGAGTTGGCGTTTTTCGATATAGACCACTGTCTTAATTAACTAGATTAGGGCCATCCTGACTGGGAGATCGCAAGCTGTAAGGATTGGAAACTCTCCGACTGATTGGAAGTCACCCAGGGGAGGTATCCCGCAAGGGACGAAACTGGGTGTGATTTTGTTTGCTGTAATGACCAACAATCTTTTGCTTGACTGGCATTTGAGGATTAAATTCGTAGATGATACCACGGCATTAGAAATCCTGCCAAGGAACGGTATTAGCTTACTAAATATAGCTGTCAATGATATTCACAGGTTTTCTATCGAGCATAATATGAAACTAAATCCGAAAAAGTGTAAGGAAATGTAAATTAACTTCATGCCAAATGATAATTTTACTACAAGACCAATTGTCCTAGGTAACAACACCGTTGAATGTGTAACAACTTATAAATTACTCGGTATTATTATCAGTAATGATTTAAAGTGGAACGAGCATATTAATTACACATCGAAAAAAGCTTCGAAACGCCTGTATTCCCTGAGGATTCTTAAAAAAGTGCGTGTTAATAAAGAGGGAATTCTCAAAGTTTACTTAACAACAATAAGACCTATACTAGAATATGGCGTACAAATCAGGCAAGATATTCCTGAATTTCTTTCAAATAAGCTGGAGTCAACTCAAAAAAGGGCACTACATATTATCTATCCATGCCATAGTTACTTAGATGCCCTTAATACTACCAACCTTAGCAGCTTGAAAGAAAGACGAACTCAGCTCTGCTGTAAATATATTCAGAAGATGTCTCAAAAGGACCACCCCATCAACTTCCTCAAGCCGAGAACAGCAATTAGTGGTCATAGTTACAACTTGCGGGCAAGCGACAACAATAAAAATATTGTTTACGCTGATAGGAGTTATTGCCGGACCCACCTTTCAGGTTCCTTTATTTCATTCGCTAATTAATATGTGAATTTGTAAATAGTTATTTAAGATATATTTTATTGACTTAGCAGTGTGAATTATTTGTTAATTCTTAATTTATATTCCTTTAATTCAGTTAATTCTGCAATGCGGCAAATAAACGGTATATTTATTTATTTTATTTTTACTTACCAACTTACTTACTTACTTACTTACCTACTTCCTTACTTACTTACCTACTAACCTACCTACCTACCTACCTACTTCCTTGCTTACCTACCTACTTACATACTTACTTACCTACTTACCTACATACCAGCTAGTGAGTAGTGTTTTTTGTTTGCTCCGATTAGCTAGCTCTGATCGAGGTGAATATCATGTGATAGGGAGACTTGAATGAAACTTTGCCTCCCAAAAGAGGAAAAATCCTTGCAAACGAAATTCTAACACTACTTGTTTAACGTCGGTTCTCGTGGGAGACTGAAGGTATTCAGTTGCTGTACCGATAATGTGGCTTTCTGAGCTTCTACTGCGTCATGTCCAGTAAGCGTTAAACTAACATTTCAGAATTTTAATGTTCTTTTTGAATTCCCGATTGACTAAGCATCGTGTTCAAAATTCAATTTCTAGCAGTAAGTTGATGCATCCGAAATATTTCATTAAAACTTAACCGTTTAGTCGTATTCTTTAAATGTCTAATTGCTTTTTTTGTGCTAGGGAATTTCGGTGTTGAATAATAATTTTTCCCTTACACTATTCTCGGTCGTATGCATAGTATTGCTTTTGGAGTTTAGAAAGCCTTTTTCGACATTTCGTCCAAAGATAAATATAAAACTATAATTTAAACTAAAGCTCAATTCTCTGTGCTCTAATGATTTTTTTTCTGTTCCCTGATCTGCCTTTTTTTAGCTAACTTTATGTCGCTTGGCTTTTACCGTTACCGTAGAGGATATGGCGCCTTTAAAAGCCCTCCGGTGTTGCAAGATCATGGCTACTGTTACTTAACTTTTTACTATATGCTGGATCACATTGGCCATGCATCGCTCACAGTTTTTACTGAGGATAACATTGGAAAAAAATTAAGTACATTATGGAACGCAGAAGTTTCAACGAACAATTGGAAAAAAAAAAGTGCTGGAACTTCCAACATTGTCCAACTATTCCGTGGTTTTTCTGGGGTTCTTTGAATATTGGGGTCACTACGTGGCCATAGACGACATCACTTTCAGGCGTTGCAACCCTTGTAAGTTCCATTGTTTTTTGTTTTTTAATTTAATTTTCTTATACACTATTCTAAACTAAAATAAATATAACTGTTAGTGTTTCTAGTTTTCCTTAAATGCATTTTGGCAAAGTTAAGAGTCTGAAACGATCGCTAATCGATTACGATATGTGACACTTCAATATGCAAGAAGTCAAGGTATTTAAGGGAGTGGTCATTAATTATTGTAGGAGGGGGAGGGCCAGTAAATTTGGCAGGAGGGCTAAGATTTTATGGCGTTTGATTTGAGGAGGGCCAAAACTATTTTGAACCATACGTAGTGGAGCATCACAAATTTTCTGACGCCTGTTTCAACAGTGAAACTTGAAAGGAAGTTCAACACAGCACAACAATCAGGCCAAAGAATTACCTTCACTTGCTTTGCAAAATAACACTAACTTTAATTAGAAAGATTGAGTATCGTTTAATTTTTCTTTACAGCAAACTCTACCATACACACAATTACCGAAAGCACTATCAGTGGAAGTTTTGATCGCGGAATCGTTTATAATGCTACTCAAACCGAAAGCCACATATTCAGACTGGAACGTTCAAGAATTACAAACAATGGCCTGAAATCCTTCATTGACGGGAGTTCTCCAGGAGCTGTTTATTTGAATGCTGCGAATCAAGTGTTTCAAATATTTAACAATTACTTTGCTGGGAACAAAAATGAAACTGTCCATTCTAGATTGGAGAATGACGTACTTGTACCCCTTCTGCCAAAGAGTCAATTTCATGCCAACACAGTTGAATTTAACAGAGGCAGATCTCTGTTCTTGGAAGGAATGTCTGGACCATTTTTGAACGTTAAAGTTACAAACAACTACTTTTCTGTGAACGTGGCAACCGACCAGGACACGATCGAGCACAGCATTTTCAAGATCTCAAATGTGACAGCACATGTTGAAGGAAACTTCTTTTACAATAACAGCGGGAAGTATGTATTGGAATACGACTACTCTCCTGCGAATGTTACTGGTCTTACTTTCGCAAACAACACTTTGTACAGGAATGTTGGCTTAGGAGTAAATTTTGGCGTCACTATTCTTTGCAACGCGGCAGCAAATATGCATAACAACATTTTAGAGAATCCCAGAAACCGCTATCAAATAAGTACATCACTAAAAGGTATACCGACTGTGGTAAATGCAACATCCAACTGGTGGGGAGCTGGCATTCTTAAACTCATTGTACCCCTCATTTTTGACAAGACTAAAGATTATAGGCTGTCGGTAAAAGTCACATATGAACCGTTTGTTGAACTGCAGCCTCAGGTCGTAACTTCTGGTAAGTTGTTTTAAGGAGTGCCTCAGAAATCAGTCAAAGAAGTAATGCTAAGCAAAAAAAGGCAGAACCGCAAAAAGCCATTTGGCAATTTGTGGCAGCTTTGCAAACGTCCAATTACATGCACTATTGTTGGTGTCGCTTACAAAAATGATTTCCAGAAAAAGCACAGGTAAAAACATTCTTTGCCTTAACGAGCAAGCCAGGAAGTTCGGTCTAGGGTCATTTGACCTATCAAACGCCTCGCCAAAAACAGCGGCAAAACAGAAAATTATTCTTTATCAACCCAGCAGCAGCTAGATCTACAACTACCCCTGTTGCTTGACTGAGATGGGGAAATCGAGCTGAAGGGTATAAGATTTAAGCACTCTTAAAGTAATGAATTTTATACTAAGATACGGTGTGACACGAAATTTTTGTTGTAGTATTGTCTTGCTGATCGAAAATAACGCTCTCGTAGAAACTTGTGTTTGCGGGAACTAATATTTTCCATCGTGAAAATCTGGTAGTTAACATTTCTGTGCGTAAAATAATATGGAAGTAGGATACTTTAAAAGTATGATCTATCAAATATTAAAATTTTTCAAGAGAATAACTTATTTCATCCGGAGATGACGCAAGGACCTTCATGTTCCTTTAAAGATACAAAAAATACAAGTTTATTAACATTTAACTCTTTGAAACAAAAGAAATTAAGGTGTTTCGATACCGTTTTTCAAAGGCCATACCGATATTTTTCAATCGCCTTAAAAGTGGTTTCTTCCTTGTCCGGTCGCTATAAAATTTTCACCAGTAATTGGCTATGGATTGAAATTTGTGAAAATGTAGTTTTAAGTAAAATCGATATTACTATGACAACAATAAACAAAAAACTTTGAAATTGATAAAAGCCGAATTTTGTGTGATCTAGACCAGCTACTGAAAATCGAACACTAGGAACTTGAAGTTTGGTGTTTGGCAAACAATCTCCGTAAGAGGTAAAAAATTCTGTATGTTTGAATTCGACTACAACGAAAATATATTTCAAACTTTAAATTTTCAATAGCCGTGATAGATGATTTAATAAAAACGTTATAAATGACTCAAATTATTCTTAAGTAGCGTCAGAATGCTGCTTATTATCATATTTTGATGCTAGGAAATTTTAATTAATTTCTTTTGTTTCAAAGAGTTAAATGTTAAATATCTTAGCCTTAGGTGAGGGTCTAAAAGGGGTTGTGGCTTTTACGATTATCGGCTAAAGTCTTGGCCCTTTCACGACTATTGGTTAATTTTCTTTCAGTTATGGTTAACAAAAAAGTTGATAATTAAGGTGTTTCGATATAGTTTTTCAGGGACCATACCGATATTTTTCAATCTTTCAAAAGTGATTTTATCCTTGTCTGATCGCTATAAAATTTTCACCAGTAATTGGCTATGGATTGAAATTTGTAAAAATGTAGTTTTAAGTAAAATCGATATTACTATGACAACAATAAACAAAAAACTTTGAAATTGATAAACGCCTACTTTTGCGCGATCTAGACCTGTTACTGAAAATCCTTCGCTAGGAACTTAAAGTTTGGTGTTTAGCAAATAACCTCCGTAAGAAGTAAAAAATTCGGTATGTTTGAATTCGACTAAAACGAAAATATATTTCAAACTTTAAATTTTCAATAGCCGTGGTAGATTATTTAATAAAAACGTTATAAATGACTCAAATTATTCTTAAGTAGCGTCAGAATGCTGGTTAATATCATATTTCGATGCTTCCCTTAAATTTCAGCGTCATGCCCGCCTGGCTGGATTAAAAAAGATGAGCTGTGCTTCTTGTACAGTGGAGGTTCCTTCAGTTTCCAAGAAGCTGTAGCGCACTGTGAGGTGGGTGAATCGATTCAGTGGACAAACGGGTATATTTATTTTTACCGTTAGCAACCGATACAAAGTGCACTTTAAAACAGTCTCTGTTATCTGAAAGTGGCTTGTAAACAATACTTTGACGCTGTGTCGAAACTTGACACTGGAAAATGGGCAAATAACGTTAAACAGCAAATCCCATTCAGACCTAGACCTTTTTACACATGATACGAGTCAACATATTTCAAATTTATTTACAAGAACGTGTCCGATGTTTAATTATTACAACTGGTTTTCTGGACATTCTAGCATAAGTACATACAACTTACGTAGATTGTAAATTGTTTAAGCGTAAGAGCCATGTCATAAGCAGACGTAGGTAATCCATAAGCCGATAATCGATAATAATCGATAGTAATCGATATCAATCATTCCGATATCAGTCGATAGAAATCGATAAAGAAAAGAAGTTGTAACTTCGATTTTAAAAACATCGATTTCCGATAGAACTCGATAATGATTTTTTATCGATTCTTATCGATTACTATCGATTCCAAGCAACGGTTATCAATTATTTTGTTAATCGGTAAATTATTTTTTCTGTGACTTCGATATCTACCGATTTCCGATATTGGTGGATTAAATCGATTAATATCGATGATATTGATTGATTTCCGACACCGATTTTTANTGAAAAAAAAAAAAAAAGTAGGAAAAAAGTCGACTTTTATACTCACGTAGTAGTGACTACGCCACAAGAAAGGTCTTTACGTTGTACGTGTAAAATTTGGCGCAGCAGCGAAAGGTGCTTTCCAAGCATGCGCACTGCTTCATCTTTTGACCTTTTTTACTTCTTTTTTTTTTTTTTTCAATGAATGGTTTTGAAACCTATCATAGATTGTTTTCAACTTTGTCAAGATTCTGCTTTTCCATTAATTAAGTCCTCCTGCGTTTTCTCAGCTTAATTTTTTTTATTATTGACCGAGGTCAAATGCTGTGTTCAAGACGTATGGCAAATTTAGAATTTGAGGCTTGCACGGATCATGCAGCAGCAAAAACTCCTCAAAAACTCCCTTGATTATTCCTTGATCATAAGAGAGGAAAATAACATCTCTTGCTCACTAAAATAAAGGAGTTCATTACGACTTCATAACAGCGACAGCTAGTGAGCGAAAAACGAAGCAGCCACTGTTTGGACGCCACTTGCTTAAAGTTGAAATTTGGCGGGCTACGGTGATGTGCTTTCCTGAGGATTCGTCATCCACGACCCTCGTAGTAGAGGTCACCTATAATCAGTAATAACAACAAATTAACAGTCCTATTTGGACCATCATTCCACCTGGTTATGACGAACCATCAATCTTGCCCATGATTATATACCATGCTTTTGATGTTATTATAAAATGTCACCCAACTTTCTACAGAGATCAGGTGGAAGTATTATATCTATGTATATTGATGAGGACGTAAGACTAGTCAAGGAATTGAGGCGGAAAGAATCCTTAGTAATACCAACGGTTGTCCCTTCCTTGTGGACTATGAAAAGAAGGATTTTAAGAAAGGTAGGGGATACAACTTTCTTACCAAAGCAACAGTAGGCTGGTTTCCACGTCATTTAATGTTTTTGTTTTTCAGGCATTTTTAGCCTTCAACTTGATCGCCAATGTGGTAAATAAGACATAGCCTGTTATTTTTATTTTTTTTATTATTATTTTTTTAACCAGTTAATAACAGTGAAACCTTGAAAAAGAATTACAAAGTAAAACGCTCCCATGGCCACAGGTGCAACTGTCAAGGCTGTTG